GAGTGAAACGAGAGCATCCATTCATTACGACCGCTGACTGAAAAGCTCCAAGGCCACCATGGTGCTGCACACTCCAGCCTTCCCAGCCTCTGGGGCGAGGCACGAAGGGTCTAGGCCAGCTGCTCCCACCAAGTCTGGCTGCAGCCAGGCTCCTGGTGAGCCAAGAGCTATTCTGTCCCTTGATTCTCCCCACTTGCTCAAACTAGGAGACCGGCTTAAAAGTACACAGAACACCTCACTACAAGAACATGGGTTTTTTCTGTGTTTCAAGGCAGCATAAAAAGAGAATTACTTCCTCCACAAGGGATAGCCCCTGGCGAAACAGCCAACGGTGACCTGTTTCTCTCACATACCTCTGTTTATATCGGAGAGAGTCCCATGAAGTGTGGTTAACAATAAGAGCTGGAGCAGCTCCCTCGTGGTAGTCGGAGAAGCTTATGAGAGTAGAATGCTCAGACACATTCACATCTACCAGTAAGCCCCCATTCTAGAGAGAAAGTTAAGACAAGAAGGTCAGTGTTTGCTCAAGCCATAAATTCAAGTTAGAACAGACTAAATGGCTATTTTTGGATCAGTCTTTCACCAGCTTCTTACAAAGGGAAAATGGAAACACACTCTGCATTATCTAGTGACAGTGAGCTCAAACACATTGGTCACTGGCTTAAGAAGACATCAGTAGCATCCACAAACTATTTGAATGTAATTTTTCAATTAAGTTAAATCAGTCAAATTATAACACTTTTAAGAATTACTTGATTTAGCTACGTTCAGCAAAAAGTACAGGCAGGCATTCACTTCAGTTTCTGTTACAAAACCTGAAGTTGTATTTACCAGCTGCCATTTCCTCCTTCCTCCTTAAAAATTTGGAATCTTACTCTACGCAAACATACTCAAGTTCTTAAAGACATGACAAATATAGCAATAGCATATCGACAAACTGACCACTAAGCAGAAAAGTTCTGATGATTAAACCTCTAAACAAAGCACTGTAAGTCTTTCCTCTAATGGCTTTCAAGATCCTGCTTTCTTCCAATATATTTGCAAGGTATTTCTAAGGTGTGTACAGCACAATTTTTCTCATTGGCTCCTGTATAGGGCTTTGAGCAACCTGGTCTAGTGGGAGGTGTCCCTGCCCAGAGCGGTTGGAACAGGATGATCTTTACAGGTCACTTCCAACCCAAACCATTCTATGATGCTCTTTTAGAATAAATATTTAAACAAACTGAAGGCACCTACGTAAATGCTCTCCGAAAGAGAACAGATGTTAAGAGGTGTACTGTACCATTTTTAACTTAACGACAATACAGCTGTTCAGTTTTCTATAAGCTTGTCAAAACCACTTCACACAGCTACGACAACATTAGCAACACTGCAAACCTGATTCACAACTATTTTTACGCAATGGCACTGAAATGCAGCGCACCAACACCTTAAGGCAGAAGGTGTCAATCCTGATGACGAAGCTTCAATGCCATCAGGCTAAAATGGAGTATTAAAAACAGACCACACAGAATTAGTCTTACCAGTTCTTCCAGCCTCAGCAGAGTACCATTATCCTGGGCTTTAAACAGAAATGGTTTGGATGAGCTTTCATGGCCCACTACTCTTACACAAAGCTCACCAGAAGAGCCTTCAGGCCAAAATGGAAGACACTGTAAAACAATACGCACAACTTCAACAGTTCATATATATCCAATATAGTAAGCCAGCAGTAACACAAAGTCTTGTGTGACCAGAACTATTTCAAATGCCTTATTTCTTGCCCCAGTATCTACTGATGAACATCTCATCTACATTTAGTAAATTATCTAAACTGAAGGACTTGATTAATTTACGAACATATTCAACTTGTGCTGTTCAAGGTGCCCCGAGATGTGAGGTATCCACATCAAGCCATCAGAAGTGACAGAGCTTCTCCAACAGAACTGTTTTTTCCCTTAAGTGACAGCTAGAGACCAGTTGCCTCTCTACAGTAACATCCAAAGGAAAAAAAATGAAACATTACCTCTGAGGCCGAGATGTAATTCCATTTATTGGTTGGAAAAGAGCCATTAGGACCCATTTCTCCAACTTCAAGTTCTAGAGAAGATTTGTTTGCAATTGTGTAGAATGGAGTGAAGGTAACTATCCTGGTAAGGTTAAAACTGCTCATTTTGATGCTAACTCCAACCTGTTGAACAAGGACAATTTGAGCGAACAATGAACAAGAAGAAAAGTCAGGATGGAAAAAAGAAAAGCCAACATTACTGTAATCACACAGGCTGATGACAACCTAACATGATCCCATCAAAGATCAGTCAAGAGTATATGGAAACACAACTCCCTACATACTTCCATGTTATTATAAAGTGTATTCTTGATTCTGTTTAGTTGTGGAAACATAAGTCTTCAACAGGGCTGCTCAGTGAAGATCTAAACGCTCGCAAAAAATTACAAATTTGAATGTGAACTCTTATCTCCACTACGTGAGTTCACTGTTTTCTTTTTGAACAGCCTAGTGCTACCACTGTTACATAAACTACGTATTATCACCCAAGATGTTAAAAATTTCAATAATTGAAAAGAATTTTAAGTAATGAAGCAAAGGCCTTAAGGAGAACAAGAAATCAAGAAAAAGAAAAAGCCAGAAGAGCTCTACGGAACACAGAAACCTATCTTACCAGATAGTCCATGTTGTTAGCTGAGCACCTGACACATCCATAGCTTCCTACGGTATCAAGGGAAAAGCCACTCGACCAAGTGCTAGTTGAAATACATAACTGGATCTACACACAAGAGAGAACATGAAAAGTACTTCAATAAATCAATTTTCATTTCATACATTATGGAGTGCAATAATATCACTCACAGCAGTATAAACAAGTGCTCTTAAAACCTCCTATAAGTAAAGATAAGGTTAAGCATGTAGTATCATTATTCCTATTCCAATTTAATAGTTTGTGCCCGAGTTCAGGGAAAGATGCTACAGCATGAGATCGCAACATAGAGGAGTCCTCATTGCCTCTAATGTTCATGACAGCAAACACATAGATGGTGAACAAAGGTAAAACTTTGTGGTGCTTCACAAACTTAAAGAGGGGGGAGAAAATAATCAAGTGAGCACCTTGTCAAAGCTGTTTCTTTAACCATTTCTTCAACTACTGTTGGGTGAAAAAAAAGATATTTAAAAGGAAAGACAGGCTACTCCAGAAAGAATACTCAATGACAGTGCTCTTGATTTGACCATGCAAATATCACCTCAAAACAAAAATCAAAAGAAATGTTTAATATAGGACAGCATATTTACATCATGCATTTTAAATATCAAAAGTACCTAGTTGAGTAAAACATGAGGCTGTGATTCCTCTGTACTCAGTGGAAAAATGCCTCCACAGGAAGACACAGAGCAGCCTTCCTTTTGACTATAAAAGGAGTACATCCTGATTTACATATCTACATTAAAATCCTTTCCCAAGGGAAACAGCTTTCTGGTAGGGTACCCACTGAGTTTTCAGGACCGAACCACTCATCAGCCAGCTTCCGGCCGGAGCGAAAGCTGGTCGACTGAATGCAGTGCAAGACCTGGAAAAAGGTGCAACAGACCTTTTAGTCTACCTGCCTTCCCTTCTACTTACTCCACAAAAGTATAATTAACAAGAAGAAATCAGCAGCCAAATGAAAGCCTATAGATTTGAATAATAGAAAAAAAAAATCCTTAAAACATGTGTGTATGTCTTCCCTTCTCAGAGCAGGATTGTACAACACGAACACCACTGCAATCACAGCCTAAACAAGCATACCTTATTTTTACTAAAAATATTTTTCCTTTTAAAGGAGAACAATACAATATCTCTATAGTCTGCTGGATGCTTCACGTGAGTGTCTTCAGCTCGATACTGGAGAACACGGGAAGTCTTGTTGATTATCCAATAAGGGCTGAACACAGACAAGATCATACGGCTTCCAGTTCGCCTGGTATGTACATAAATATCCACCGTCATCGCTGTCGCAGAATGGGATGCGAAACCCACAGAAAAAAATTCAGGCATCTCCTCATGAATTCTAAGATGCCCGTGCCAGTCTTTGCCTTGATATTTTATCAACACAAGCTCCATTATTTCTCCACTGATTCTTGAATGAAAAACATCTGCAGCACTCCCTTCCACCAAATCACGGGCTTCTGCTGTTCCCTGTAGCAAAATTAAAAGGGGCATATTAAGTTCTTAATACAGAAAATTTAGGTATTACACCCAGCATTTTATTCTTCTCTTGCAAGATGTTTCACACACACATGGACCAGTCTCCAATCACTTTCACTTGAGGCTGAGGTTCTGAATAATTTCAGATCAACCGCACTTGTCTTGCAAGAAAGGCTGCTTAATTCTGGATTTCAGAAAGGCAAACTAGTTCCAATGTATTCCCTGTCTCTGTTACCTCCCTCCTCTGTGATTTCCAGAGGATTTTGGCAAAGAGTTCTTATTCATACAGTTACAATACTGGGTGCGACACTGACCTGGGCCGTGCTACCGATGCACAGCCAGGACTTTTCACACTAAACAAGAGCCAAGGCAGAGAGCTGCCAGCTGCGCCCTACTGTTTGGTAGCACAGCTTTTCTCAGGCAGCAGCTTTCCACAACAACATCTTCTGTCATTTTTACTAAGAAACAGTATATTTTACTGTATTAAACAGTGGCCAGGCTTGATTAGTCAAGGGATGTGAAGACAACAAGCACCTTGTCCATCTACACTGAGTTCAGAAACAGATTTGAACTAGTAGTTTCTAGCTCCTTGGTCAAGGTAATTGCACTCTGCTTAGCATTCTGTGACTCTCAAGCCCTGAAGCACAGTGAAGGTATGGAAAACTGGAAATAACACCATTAGGATATTGGACAGAAGTGAAAGAAACATCTAAACAAATGCCACAGCCAGTTACGTGAGTGGGACAAAAGAGAACCAACTAGGATGATAGTTCTAAATCCTTGTGCCTTCTCTGTTCACTAAAACCACCCAGCTTTCATGAAGAAATACTAGATATTGAGAATACTGGAAGAAGTCTGCACAGCACCCCACCAAAAAATCTTCCAATACCCACAATTTCACAATACTCCTCCGTAAAAAGTCAGCGTCAGAAGGGAGAGATACCTGGCAAAATACAGACAGGACCTCTGAAGAATCTAAAAGAGAAAGACTGATCCAGTAGAGGATTCAGAGCTGCAAGGCAGAACTGACCAAGTACACCCCCCAATTAAAAGCAATCCCCAGAAGTCCCAGAGGCAATCCATCAACTGATTTATTTACAAAATACAAACCTGAACATTCTGTATCTTGCACACTACATGCAACTCCACTTCCGAGTAAATATTGCTTAAAGTCAAGTAAGGGATTTACAAATAAAACTGTAACTAACTTACCTCAAGTAAATATCTCAAGGAGTATGGTAAAAGATTCCTCACAGTCAGTGTCGGATGAAGATGGATAATGTAGGCAGGATCCCAATCCTCTCCGTGGGTTGAAATAAAATTCAGTTGATCAGGTACAGCTGTCGAGCTGATTACGAGAGGCAGGAAATTTGACTCAGTGGCTGGGCACTGTAACAAGCACTTGACTTCATTGCTCCGATGTAGCTCTTCCCTCCAGGCAATGTAAGTTGTGGACTCTTTAAACTGACCCTCCAACACTCCTGTTGGTCGAACATACAGATGGCACCTACGGCAAGAAGACGGGTAATGGTACACAACAGCTTTGTAGTGGTGACTAACCTCACCCACTTTAAAGGAACTGCTCACACTCTGACGTGCTTTTGCAGCACGCTGATTATAAAGCAAAGGCAGCCTTTTGGTATTATTTCCCAGCCAGGAAGAGTTCCAAGCGCAAATTTAATTAATTTCCGAAAACTTAGCCGTACAGACCACAAAAAGCGTACCTGTATGAATGTAAAGGAACGTGAAATTCCTCTTCCGGCTTGGATACGCCAATCGGCTCCAACAACTTGGAGTCTTTAGCCAGCTTATAGATCATAAATGGGATCGAGAAATGGTTCTTGATCTAGGACCAAAATGCATTATTTTCATTACATTTCTATGGTACAAATTTTTAGAGGCAAAACTATGAATTGCAAGAAGGAGATTTAATTAAACTCCAGTGGAAAGCAGACTTCTATGCATCTTCGTACGCAATACAATACTGAAGGAGATCAACATGGAAGCGCACGAGAAAAGTATGCTGCTTGTAAATTCCCTGAACGGACAACATGCTTAAAATGCCAATTCACATCAAAAGTACATATTCCAGCCTCAGTGATGACAATATTAGAAAACTAAAACTTAAAAAGTAAAAAACAAAGTTTTCATTCATCAGGAAGACACACACATAGAGAATACAAATAAAAAAAAATCACGGAACAAATGAAGTAAAACATTTAATAATTTGCCTCTCCTGGAAAAGTATGCTCTCAAAAAGACGAATTGAGGAAGAAAAGGAAAGTCACTCAGAGAAGAGCACAGCTTTGAGGCTTCTAGTTTCTTTGGTTGTTTTTTTTTACCTGCAGAGGAGACCGTACAGTAATAACCTTATTTCCTTCTGTAGCATCTATCTGTACAACGATCGAGTCAGACGCACATGCTCTCAAAAAGACGCATTGAGGAAGAAAAGGAAAGTCACTCAGAGAGGAGCACAGCTTTGAGGCTTCTAGTTTCTTTGGTTTCTTTTTTTTTACCTGCAGAGGAGACCGTACAGTAATAACCTTATTTCCTTCTGTAGCATCTATCTGTACAACGATCGAGTCTGAATGATCAGCAAAAAAGCTTCTTATGTTGTACAGTCGTCGACCCGATTTGGCTATGGGAATGTTTACTGCTTCTTTATATCCTTGAAGTTCTAATACATAAAAACATACAGAAGTCGTAATTAGGCAAAACGAATCAGATGACCATTTCCCATTTGAACAACGCTTTATATTCTCTACACTCAGCAACAGCCAGGATCAAAGCGCACTCTGGTAAAAGCATCCTGAAACGGTATTTGAGCACTACTGCTTTAAGGTCAGAATACTCACGAAGATCATAATTTGGATTATGATTTATACACAGCACAATAAATACACCAGTTAACAAATATATTTGTTGGGTGAGTTAACAAAACGCAACACTAAACACAATCTTTGTGTCATGGCCAAGAACTTTCAGATGGGATGGGATGGGATGGGATGGGATGGAAAGAAATCAGAAGATAATATATTAGTAGTTCTTGTCGCCTGTTCTCCTAGGAGTATTCTCTGGCCAAGTTAAAAACACAGAAAAACTGTAACTGCTCAAGTAACTTGGTAACTACAGAAAGCCAAATGGTAGCAGGGATGTAAGAAATTAAGATCCTGTTTAGCAAGAGATGGAGCCCACAGGCCTACATCCCAGCAGTATGATGGTCTATCAGTGACTCCACTACAACACTTGCATCTCTTTCAAAGGAGAAGAAAAAAGTACTGTACTTCACACTCCCTGAAAAACCAGAGAGCATTTCACATCCTTTTCAGAGGTCCAGCAGCTGGGGGTTTGGGGTTTTTTTTATTGCCATCAATATTCAAAACACAGTTTCAACGCAATGTACTTGACCTGAATTTTGATCACATTGAATTCAACCACGCTGACTCCCCTGTTTCCCCATTTTCAACATGCCGTAACACACAATGTTCCTTAGAGTAATACCTAAATTTAAAGAGAAGACGGAGCTTTCTTGTCGGTGCAATGCAGACAACTTTCCTCGTTGGGGTACTTCAAAAGCAGAGTATTCCAATTCCATGTTCTGACCAATTTCTACATCGTTCACGTTTTCTTTTTCAACTGAATTAACTATCCGAAAACTGGAGCCAGGAAGCACTTTGAGAGGAACACCGAGGGCGTTTTTCACTATGAAAGGTGCTGTCTCTTTAAAGGAGTAGTCAAATGTGGACGCAGTCCCTTCCGAAAATGCCTGTAATTAATGACATAGATAATATATCAGACATAAATACCCATAATAACCTACATATAAAGGCTTTACAAGAGAGTTCCCAGCAACTACCATTTTACAGAAAAAAACATATGTATACATAGCAACACCTATGTACAGGAGTACTTCAGGAGAGTAAAGGTTGCTTCTAGAGAATTTTGTTATTATTCTGTGATTTGCAGCATATATTGATACTACAATAAGCATTCATGCTTGTCATTGGTAGTTTTTTACAGCTCTCAAGTTTTAAGAGAAAAAAAATCTGGGATATAGAAGTCTCAAGCATATTCACTATGTACATACTTCATATTCAGCCACAAGTTATGCTTACAAACATTTGTTGGATTACACAAAATCCATGGTA